CTCTTGACACCACCCTCACTTACCCCAGATAGCCAGCACAAATGAGGCATTCCCTTCCCAGTCTGGAGGTAAGGTGAGCTGCAAGCTTTCTTGGCCACAAGCTAGCAGGCTGGGATCAGAAAAAACACTACCCTGAGCCCCTACAATGAAAGTAAGGGGACCAAAAAACCCCCAGAAAAACATAGTTCCAAATGCACTCCTAGACTGCCCTACAACACCCATCCTGCTCTCTTGCTAAGGACCCTAAAGCATCTGCTTTTGGCCTAGCCTTTTTAAATTATGGAGCCAGCTGGGATCAGAAATTCCTGAAGAGTCCAGGTGGACAACCCAACGGTTTAACACCTTCGATTGCCCTCACCTGGCTCTGAACCCATCACAGTGTGCTTGCACCCTTTGAAGAAAACCACAGGTAGGAGCTGAGCTTATGTAAAGAGATGGGCCTGTATTCATATCACTAAGCTGAGAGGAGCTCATCTGTGCAATTTACTGTAGAGCCCCAGCAGGGTCTTCAAACCCTTTTTTTTGCACTCTGAGTTCTTCCCACCACTAGCCCACCCAGGAGATATGCCTGCTTTTCCCCATGGACCCTACTGCTGCTCTGGTTGCTCGTTACACTGCCTATGTGCAAGAAGCTGATAACAATGTTCTTTTGCTGTTTTAAAGATGCCACTGCTTCAAATGCCAGACACAGGGTGCTGACATATAAGCATAGAAATAGCCCTTCCCATGAAATCTGTGGAAAACTATGGAGCTCAGGAGGCTTTGCACACCTAAAAGGAGGTGATTCCCCTTAAATACACCTGGCTGTGGACTACAGCCCCATTTGCAGTGTGGTTGTGTGGGGATAGCTGCAGGACTGTTCCAGCCCTGGCTGCTAGATGGCAGGACCATACGTTCTGTGGGACCCCCACCCCCAAAAGCTGGCAGGTGGGCCTCTAAGATGGGCCTGAAACACAGGTAAGGGGAGCCCCTGTGATCCCAGAGAAAGCTCTGCCTGCCAGCACCCATTGCCTGCCTGTTACTGCAATGTGTCTCATGTAGAGCCTTCTCCCTAGCCACACATCAGGCTACAGCACCCACACTGAGTAAAAGCCTTATGGTCCATCTTTCCATACAGATGTTTCTGCATTCATGCAATGGAGGTGTGAATGTCTTTACACTGTTGCAGAAGTGATGCACCATGGTTTGCCCATGCCTTTTTAGGTCCTACTTTTTGCAGCAGGAGCACTGGCATAGCCTGTGCCATCATGTTCTTTTGTAATCTGTTTGTTTCTTTGGGACTAGATCATCACATACATCCCAGCACAGTGTGTGGGTTAGAATAGTAGTATTTCTAGTTTTAATAATGCACTTCCATTACTGATCACCTTCACTTCTGCTCTCAGCAGACCCTCCAGCTCCCAGATGTCTGCACAGCACCATGCAGCAGGCAGCATGCTCGCCCCTCCAGCCAGCCCTCATCAATAGGCTGAGTCCAAGGGATGTGTTTCTTCTGCTCTGCTACCTTAGCCCACAGCCCTTCTTTCCTCTATAGCTGTACAGGATGCCGTGATCCCAGCTGAACATCACTGTGCCTACCCTGCTCACTGCTTATTTCATGCACCAACCAGGAGGGCTGTTCCACAAACTACAAGACCTTTTCAGCTGTCTGCATAGCAGGGCTGAAGCAAATGGATCTCGACAGGCTGCCCTGTGAACCAAATGTGCTTGTCCCAGCACCTGCCTGGGCACCAGGCAGCCACAGTGGAGAGGCACCCAGGGAAAACATTTGGACTTTGGCAGGGAGGGAGGCTTCATCTCTGTAGAAGCTGAGCATTGTGCCGAGACAGCTTGCCCAAATCTCACAGCCGCTGTGTGACTGCTGAATGCTTCATTTGACTGTTACCTGCTGATAATTGTGTAAACAATAACAAATAAACAAAGTACTTTGGAGCTATAAAAAGATCATTTTCATTGCACTTTAACCCACCCATATTTTGTTTATGCTGACAGGAAAAATGTCTATATGTACTTGAAGAATAACTCTATGTGAATCAGAACTCGGCGTGCTGTAGATCCACCAAGCAATACTCATGCTGAGAATGGTTTCAGGTAAATGCCCTTTCCTAATTTCTCCACACACACTTGACAGCTGTGTTGGATGATGTAGAGACGGGAGGCAAGTGAAGTTAAGCTTGAAATTCATGGAAATGAAATGCTTTGTTTGGAAGAATTTGTTAAAGGCAGTGGAAAGAAGCCTGGCTGAGAGGAAAAAGGCAGGTGTCTCTTCCTCATCCATTCGACAGTTCTCATGCATTGCAGTGACTCAGCTGTAAGCACCAATTTAGCTAGCACCCAAGACCACCACTAACCGGACATGCAGAGGATGAAGGTAGGCAAGGCAAATATCTCTGTAGGCCACTAGCCTGAAGCTGATCATGACCCCAGCAAGCTAAAATCCTCCTAGGATGTCCATCAGGAAAGTCCTCTCCTCCTAACAATTTGGGGCCGACAGCAGCACTTTAGGAGTTGCCCTGGCTGTAGAGAGCTCACAGAGACCTGTAGGAAGAAAAGGAGGTATTAAATACCACCACAAAGTGCTGAGAAGAAGGGTGCAAAATGCCCTGTGCATTGTGGGACTGTCTCCAACGAGATCGCTACGTGTCTGGCCTGTACCATGCACCATATGTGGTACAAAATGGCAGTGCATGTAGGAGTGACTCAGTCAAAACATGCCTCCACAGAAGCTGAACAACAGCATTTACAGACAGCAGGGATCTCCACACCAAGCATCCCAAGGATGAGGGATGCTGGCTGCACAGTGGGCAGGAGTGGCATTTTGCAGTGCCACCTTCTGAAGACAGGTCCAAAAAGAGAAAGTGCAGGCAGCAAGCTTGCAGGAGGTTCTACACAATGATGACAGATTTTATTCAAGCTTGTGTTTTATTTTAGAAAAAAAAAGAGGCAAAGCTACAACACTGGTAGCCTTTCCTTTGAATATCCCTAATGTGTGCCTCCAATAAACTTAAAACCAAAGTTCCTCGGGAAGATGCAGAGGAGGAGATTTCAGCCTCACCTTCCTGGACTTTCACATGTATGGAGAGCACAGACCAGCCCTGCCTACCCTTAGCATCTGCAAACAGAAGCAAGTACTCAGAAAACCCTCGGACACTACTGTGACATGAAAAGACCCATGGTTTCCCACAGGGAAAGGTGTGAGTGATGAGTCTTATGGGTTTTCCTCCCTTGTAAATCCCCAGTGTGTCTGCCAGGGTGGTGGCAATGTTCGGAATATAATGATTTTATCCTGATAAAAATGAGAAAACGTCATAGTATTCCCAGTTCCAGGGCTTTTGCCCGAAGTATGTTGCAAATTGTGAGGCAGAGCTGAGAAGTGAGCCCTTTTCTCCAGGAATGAGGGAACTGTACAGGGAAGGTGGTGGGGTCATGAACTGCTGGTAGCAGAGAGACCTCATATAACAGTGCAAACTCCCATGAACTCCACTTTCACCACGTGGAAGTCCCTAGAACTACATGAACTTACATGAACTGCCCTGGCAACATCTGAGCTGATTCAGGAATTCAGGCCAGCAGATCAGCAACTAGCCCAAACTTATTGGCAATTCAGACTTTCCACCAAAGTATCGTCTTTAAGAAGTGATATGAGATTTAAAAAGAGCAATTAGCCAATTATTGCACTTATGCAAGAGAGCAAGGATGATTTAAGAACCCCTAGGAAAGCTACAGAAACTTTCACAGAAGCTAGAGACCTTCATTAGCACCTCTAAGCAAAGGGGAAACTCGCATTAACACATTGCTGCACAGCAAACCCAGCACACTCTAACCAAGCATCTGGCCCCTCACTAATTCCCACCAAATCCCACATCCCCTATGCTTGCAACACCTTCTGCTCAGTTGGATGTGATCTGTCTGCCTGCAAAAGTGTCACAGGTCAGGAGAGATGCATCAGGAGACATGGCCAGACTGAGCAAGCTAAGCACAGGCAGTGCTACAGCCCTGATGGTCCTTTCTACCTGCCACTGCTACTGCTGTTGGGACCTTGCAGGTATGCAGCCTCTGAAGTAGTCTTGGGCAGGAAGCCTCCAGGTCTTTTTTAAATCCTCGCAACACCAGACATGCTCTGCAGCCTCCCAGAGCACCTCTGGGCCTTCCAGGGAAGCAGTTCCTCGTATTGGAGTCAGACACCAACAAAACAGGAACTTGTGGATGCCAGCTTCCAGCAGCAGGTTGGGTCGGCTTCTTTGGTCATTGCAAGTGCAAGGACGAGTTGCCAGGTTGTGCTAACCCATATACAGCCTCTCACAAGTGCAGCTCTATCTCAGCTTGAGAAGTCATTCCCCAGAGACCTTCTTAACTTTTCAGTTTCCCTCTTCTCTGTTTGCTTCTCTCACTCTTTCTCTCCTCTAGGAGACCTTGATGAGGTCCCAAGGTCTATTCCCCTTTTCTTATGCCTTTATCTTATCTCTCCCAGACAGTCCTTTCTTATCTGTTGTGACATCTGGAGACCTTTCTGCCCTTGCCATATGGATATTTTATACGTTCCTGTGTGAACTCCACTGATAATGTCAGCAAAACTTCAGGAACAAGCAAGGATGGCTCACTCCACTGAGAGCTTGTACAATCAATACCAAAGAACAGAAAATCCAAATGGCACCAAAGTACTTGGAAGATGCTCTCGTGACAGTGAATTTCTGGGAGTGCCTCAGTAGAAGAGCGTGCCGCAGTGTGATCTCTTTAACAGTGAAATTTAGGTGAAACAAATTAAGTTTTATGAGCACATTATAAATTTCTTAATCTCTGTTGGCCTCTGCAGTTGTTTGAGACAAGTGATCAATGACCAATTAACCCTGAGAAAAGTCCTGGTTTCATAACGCAGGGCAGTCTAACAAATGATTGACTACTAATGTTGAATAACTCAGCCACGTGATCCAAAACCTGCTGTTGAGCTAACATAGCCCTTCAGTATGTAAACCTGGGCTCTGGCAGCCAGAGTCACTCCTTCCTGAGCTGCAGAAGCAAATGGAGCTCCTGGGAGCAGCCACTGTTGTCCTCCTAGTCTGCATTGCTTGCCTGCTCTCCATTGTAGCATGGAGAGGAAGATCTGGAAAGGGGAAGATGCCTCCAGGACCAGCTCCCCTTCCCATCCTAGGTAACATGCTGCAGGTGAAACCAAAGAACTTGGCCAAAACCCTCCAGAAGGTAAGGCCACTTTCTTCTTCTCTCTTACTTTCTTCTGTGGGCAAGAAATGTGTGGGACCTGTACATGGGGACAACCTGTGGCCATAGCTGGATGACTGGCAATCCCACAGGAGCAGAAAAATTATAAGGATCTCAGCTGCTCCCCCTCACTGCTGTTGCCATTGTTGTTCAGGCTGTGACAGCTGGCAACCCCACACCAATATTTATCATAATATGATGTGAGGCTGCACTGCCTGCAGTGGGATGCAGCAGCAAGGCCACTTTTCAACTTCTCCTCCCTATCTGCTCCATGGTCATGTTCTCTCTTGCATTTTGACAGATCAGTGAAGAGTATGGACCAGTGTTCACAGTACATCTGGGCTCTGACCCAGTGGTGGTGCTGTATGGACATGATGTAGTGAAAGAAGCCTTGGTTGATCGTGCAGATGAGTTTGCTGCCAGAGGACACATGCCAATAGGAGACAGAGCTAACAACGGTTTAGGTATGTTTGCTGAGTGCCTTCTGAGGAGAAGGGAAGGGCTGAGAGTGTATTCAGCAGATTACAGCTGGAGTGTACTATGCCTGAGGGAAGACTGTGGGGAGTGGGTGGGTCCAACCTGGAAAAGGGAAGGCAGAATGGGCTGTAATTGCTGGCTTCCACCACCGAAAGAGGGTGGCAGAGAAATGGAGCCAGACTGGTCTCAGCAATGGGCAGTGAAAAAGCAAGCAGCAACATCCACAAGCTGCAGCAAGGGAAATTATGTGCAGATATGAGTGATGAATTGTTCACAAGGAGGTTGGGTATGTGGTGGAGAAGGCCAAAAGCAGGCAGTTGGACTACAGGACCTCCAGAGATTGCCTCCAAACCACAGTACTCTATGAGACTACCATGTCAGTGCTCTCCTAGGGACAGGATTCACTGTCACAGTGAGCTCTGTTCATCTCACAGCCTGCATGCCCAAGCCAGGTCTTTCCTCTTCCTTCTTCCTCTGCAGGGATTATTTTTAGCAACAATGAGGAATGGTTACAAGTCCGGAGGTTTGCTCTCACCACTCTGCGCAACTTTGGAATGGGGAAGAGGAGCATTGAAGAGAAGATCCAGGAGGAAACTGAATACTTGCTGGAAGAGATCACCAAAACAAAGGGTATGGTCCATTTTTAATATAGCCTATATTTGCAAAAAGACTGTATTAAGGGAGCCCATGTCTTTAGCATAGAATTGAAGTTCCCATGTGTTTGGTCCGTGCACCACCTACCTGTCATTACAAAGCACTACGTAATTCCGTGATCACATACTTTTCTTTTTGGAGAACCTTCCTGTGTCACTGAGAGACTGTGATCTAATATTTCCACTAACAACCAGAGCTTAGGTTACCCACAGTAGTCCTAAGTAGCCACAGTGCTTTTTTGTTGTGGGGTTTTTTTGTTTGTTTGTTTTGGTTTGGTTTTTTTTTAGTGGTTTGGGTTTGTTTTATGGTTTGTAACTTTTCTGAAATCACAGGAACACCTTTTGACCCAACCTTCATGCTGAGCTGCTCTGTCTCCAATATCATATGCTCCATCATCTTTGGGAAACGATATGACTATAAAGACAAGAAGTTCCTGTCCCTGATGAACAATATGAACAATATTTTTGAGATGATGAACTCCCACTGGGGACAGGTACATTCAGTAACCATTTCACAACGGCAGCATTCTCCCAGGGGAGTAGGAGGCCTCCCTCCCAACAAAGTCCCATTTCAGTCTTTTAACTAGGACCCCGTCAATGCTCTGCTGCACAGGAGCGAATTCATTCAAGAGCAAGAAGCACCCACACCAATGGAGTTGGCTTTGCCAGCTTCCCCCAAGTCCTGAACACCCTTCTTCCCTACCTCTAAGGTTCCTACTACTACTAAGCAAGTCCTACCACCCTGTCAGACTGCTCAGTCTCATAGCCCTTCTGTTTGGCTCAGTTAAGACGGTTGTGGCCTTCCTAGGCTTTTTTGCTAATATCAAAGGATGGGGCAATGGTCATGCTAGGGACCTTCCTGTTTCTTTCCTTCCAGCTCTACCAGATGTTCTCAAAGTTCATGGATTACTTGCCTGGCCCACACAACAAAATATTCAAAGAATTCGATGATCTAAAAGCCTTTGTGTCAGAGGAGGTGAAGACGCATAAAGCCTCCCTAGATCCCAGCTCCCCTCAGGATTTCGTTGACTGCTTCCTCAACAAAATGCAGGAGGTAAGGAGACAGCATACAGCCCCAGCTCATCCCCAATACAGCTATGCTGAGCCCCTTCCCTCTCCTAAGTAGCACAGACATTGGGATGATGCCTTCCCAGGCAGCTGGGCTGTGCAGTGGGAAGACACCAACAATATCCCAGATATTGCCTGTCTTACATCTTATAGCTCTGAGTCTGCACACTCTCCAACCACTACCTGCAACTGCTTGGACAGCAAGACCTTCATCTGCTCTCACCAAAACACAGGGACATTTGCAGTCTGGTCTTGCAGTTCTTTCACTGGAAAGCAGTTGGCACAGTAAGAGCAAACAGGCAGCTATGTACCATTCAGTGCACAGCTTGAAAGAAAGTTGCTCTAGGGTTGAGCTTACGGCACAAAGAGCATTGCAATGCCCCAGATAGCTGCTGCACCTTAGCAGAGAAATGCAACTGCTCTAAGCAAAAAGGAAGGCCTGGGATGACACAAGAAAGGGACACTTTTCTCAGCTCAGCCAGAGAAACAGCCCAGCCTTTTCCCCAGGAAAAAGAACATCCCAATTCCAGTTTCCACGAGAAGAACCTGATAACTAGCACTTTCGACTTGTTCATTGCTGGAACTGAGACAACTAGCACCACCGTAAGATACGGGCTTCTGCTGCTTCTCAAATACCCGAAGATACAAGGTACCAGTCTGTGACCTCTTCCTCTCTAGCTATTCCCCTGGGCTGGGCACATGTCTAACACCACATCCTTCTCCCAACTTTTTTTCTCTCTCTCTCATATATTTTACCCAAATGGGCAAAGTCCTTGCACCATCATTCCCCAGGGTGGCCGTTAGAGATCCCTCAGCTTCATTGGCATCTTCATCAGCTGCACTCCCCTCACAGCCAGGGACTCAACTGTGTCCACATTTTCATCTCCCAGTAATCCTATTTAGCCAGGTCACTAGAAGGACACTCTTCACATGGGCCACAGTAGAGCTGTGGTCTAGTCAACACCAAAACCAGTATCAATGCTCCTGTCATCTGCAATATGTGATTTGTGGACAGCATAGGGCAACCTGTTTATGTAGGTTTGATTTTATCTACCCATTTTAAGGTTTGTGCCTCTCATTACAGAGAAAGTTCAAGAAGAGATTGACCGGGTAGTGGGACGGTCACGAAGACCTTGTGCAGCTGACCGGACCCAGATGCCCTACACAGATGCGGTGGTCCATGAAATCCAGCGCTTCATCTCCCTTGTCCCCCTAGGTCTCCCTCACACTGTGACCAAAGACACCTGCTTCAGAGACTATGTCATTCCCAAGGTTAGTGGGCAAGCTCCCTCAAGTTCAAAAACAACGTGGCAGCAAGTTTGCTCTTAGGCTGTCAGTTACAAGCCAGAAGCTAGAAATGCTGTGGCCTGACCTCTTATCATCCAGCCCTTCATGAACGTTTTATCCTGAGGTTCCTGTAGCTCACTTGCAATCCCTTGTTGCCCCTCCGTGGGCCAAAAATAGAACAGTAGCTCTGCCCACCACCTTTGCTCACTTGCTCTGCAGCTTTACCTATCTGCAGAAATACAGCAGGTTCACAAAAAAACAGAGCAGTGACTTCTCAGACAAAAGGCAACAAAGCCATGGAACCACTGGACGCTATTCAGGAGATCCTGTGCACATGCTTGGAAGCAAAGTCAGTCTAGTCTGATGGGCTAGAGCAACCCATGACCTGGCCTGGCCTGCTGCAGCAATGCTCATTGCTCTACTGGGTGACCACGTGCAGCAGGGGAAAAGCAGCACACAGGCTTTTTGATTTTCAGCTGTTTGTGTAAAATCAAAAGGCAGGTCCTGGGGAACTACTCAGCTTCCAGCAGAGAGTCTTGTGTCATCGCTGCTGGATTAGTTATCCCACCCTCCCATCAATGGCTGGTGAGGAAGAGAGAAGGAAGAGGATCGTGGCAGGAGAAATTTGTCCAGAGACAGGAAGAGAGCTTCATTTCCACAACCTTGTGTGCTTTTGCTTTTTGGCGCTTGCAGAAAAGAAGGAACATAGTGCATCTACAAGTTCATTGTTGTGAAACATTAAGAAAGAGGAAGAATTAGGTGGGGTCTCTCCAGATGACCAGAGCAAGGTGAGGATAAATGATCTGCAAGTGACAGAGAGCATTCAGGAAAAGCAGCCAACAGCTGTCCCTGCTATGATATCCAGCAGGGTCTCCCTAAAGCTGCCTCCCCAAAGTAAGGGTCCCCAAAGGGAAACCAAAGGCACTAGTAGGACTGTACTGCGAAGCTCAGTCTTAACTTGGTAGGCAGTCGGATTAAGTGATCTAACTTGCCTCCTCTTCACATTCTGCTCTTCTTCTTGTGTTACCTCAGGGCACCACAATCTTTCCCATCCTCGATTCTGTTCTTCATGACAGTAAAGAGTTCCCAAACCCAAATGAGTTCAACCCTGGACATTTCTTGAAGGAGAATGGTGCCTTTAGGAAGAGTGAGTTCTTCATGCCCTTCTCAGCAGGTAAAGCACAGGCTTTCTCTCTCTTCCTCTCTCTGTTGACCACTCTGCCTTTCCCTGTAACACACACTCCCTCTTCCTTGGTCCCACTGGTGCTTCCTTGGGGCTTACTGCTCTCTGGATAACTCCTCCCTGATGCTCCCTTCCCCAGCTGCATGTCCCACCTTGTTTGGGCGTGGCGGCTTCTCAAACTTCCTACTAGGAATTGCTGATGTAATGATGTGAATGGGACCCACTGACACTTTCTAAAATATCTGTTGCCTTCCTACACAACCACCAAAATCATCCTTAACCAACCTTTCTGTCTGTGGTAGCTCCCCTTTTCCCTAGCACCTCTTAAGTACTTCTCAGGCTACAGGCAACTGCTCAACTACCAACAGCCCCAACCCTCTGCTTTCGCACCTGTGCTTTATGTCACCTTGCTCTCTCTCATCTTGCCTCCTGTGATGCCCCCTTCATGTTTAAGACTTCTCCTGCTCCTGTTCTTCCTTCATGCACCCAAGCAAATTGCTAAGGGTCTTACTCTAACAAACTCTTGCAAATATCCTTAGTAATCTTGACAATCATCTCACTGCTGCAGCTGTATCTGGTAAATAAAGCTGTGCAACACATCAGCTTAGTACAAACTCTGGTCTACTTGGCAACACCTGTTGAGCACTATGCTGTTTTCACTTCCAGGGAAGCGAATATGCCCTGGAGAAGGCCTGGCACGCATGGAGATATTCTTACTCTTGGCCACCATCTTGCAGAACTTCACCTTGAAGCCTGTTGTTGACCCCCAGAAACTCAACATAACCCCAACACTGAGTGGGACAGGCAACGTACCTCCTGTCTACCAACTCTGTGCTCTCCCCCGCTGAAAAGCACAAAACCGTTCTCTACGGTATACTGAGCTTGGCTACTCCTTTACATCTCCCTTACTAAAAAAAATGGCAGTAGCATTGCCGCCCCCTTCCAAGGCCTCCAGGAAGGCAGCCCAAGTGCAGGTACGTGCATAGAGCAGACACCTTCAAAGCCACCCAGAACTGCTCCACCACATCGCAGAGAGGCCCTGGGTGACACTGCAGCCTGTTGCACTGATGCTCTGTCCACAGGCTTATTGAGCTCAGCGGCTGCATCAAACAGCTGATTTTCCCACAAACATGACTCCCATGGCTGCCCATGACTGCTTCTCCTGCAGCACATGTCCCACCAAGAGCAGCAAGCTTTGCAGATGGATAGTGCTGCATGTGTGTACATCAATGACCCAATAAAGAAAAAGCTATTTATGAGGGTTTGAGGCCTTATTTTCTTTGGGCTGGGGCAGCACCCACATCTGCTGCTCCACTGCAGAGTAGGCCTGCAGCGCCTGTGGCCAGAGCTCTGTGGGATGGGCTGTCCCTCCCAGGGCAAAGGTCCTGCCTGCTTCATCCACTGGACCCACTGCTGCTGCCTGCAAGGAGCTCCTGGCCAGTTGCAGTACAACACCAGTTGGGAAGGCTCATGGCACAGCAGGGGAAGGGGGTTCTGCAGCCTGGGGGCTATCAGAAGCTCTATCTGCCATTCTTGGGTCTGCCAATAGCCAGATGAAGGACAGCTGCAGCATCCCTCCTGGAGGACAGCAGTCTCCCTCCGCCCCAGTTCAGATGCTGAAGCTGCCTTCGCTCCCTCGATGGGATCTCTGGCTGCTCCTGGGGGCTCCTCTCATTTCTCAGGCACTCTGTGGCCCACCCTTTCTACAAACTGCAGCACCTTCCCTATGGCTCCTCTCCATCCTCCTCTCATCATCTCCCCCAGGCCTCCTGCTCCCCTCAAGGCATTTGCCAGCACAACACTGCCTGTCACTGTGGCCACTCAGCATGCCTGCACGAATCAAGATGGGGCTGCTGAGGAGATAATTTCTCTGGATGGTGCCTCCTGCCTGAATCACACTCCCGCCCCACCTCCCACCTGAAATGCCAAGGTACAGAGGAGAGAACAACATGAGCAAGAGGCCATTGCAGGCAAGGAACAGCTGAGAACTAAGGGAAGTTGCCATCACAGGGGCTAAGCTCTACAGCTGGAGGTGAATTCTCCTTCCAGTTTCCTTAGGCATATCACTTCATCTCACTTACAGTCTGGACTCCTTCTGCCGAATGAAAAGATGACTGCATCTCTGTCTGCAGGCTGTGAGGAGCTCAGACACCCGAGTGGTGGGTTCTCTAACTAACTCTCTGGCAGCTCTTTTCTACCATCAGTATCACTGCAAGGATTTAGATGTTCTTTATTAAAACGAATACATTTAGGAGGACAGCAAAACCATCTCTCCCAGAGAGTCTGGGTACTCTAGGGGAATGTGATTTTGCTTCTGCATCTCACAGGCATCACTGCAAATAAGTTATTTTCCCATCCAAAGTCTCTTTGTCCTGTTCTCAATAGAACTTCATGTATGCATAAAGAGAAAACTCTCTTGTTCATAAACTGCAACTATGTAACCCCTGTTGTCCAGGAAAAGGATTGTGTCTGTTATTTCTGGCCCCAGCCACTATTCAGTGCTTTTCTTTCAGTGATAGGGTGGATGGTTTTCATAAATGGATTCCACCACAGGCAGCTCTCTTCTGGGCTTCTTCATCCTCATGGGCTTGGGTTGTGTGTGGATGTCCAGTTTGTGGTGTTTGCCTCGATCTTCATTTACATAGATGTTTGTTGTCCTCTGCATCATGATCATATAAAAGTCCTAGAGGCAAAATATAATTTCTGTGACAGCTGTCACAAGGTACTCAGAGACTTTGTGAGTACTGCAGAAAATACAATATGCAAGAATTCCCACCTCCCTTTGGAAATGTTTAGCAGTATTTTGAAGAAAATGTTGTATCTGCTTACATCCCAGGTCCATCCCTCCTCCCTCCATTTTTGCCCATGCAGGCTGCAGCTCTAATGCCTATGTACTCTAAAACAATGGCAAACCATTGCTGGCCTCTCATCTGGGATTGCATCAAATGGACAGACACGCAACCAGAAACAGCAGTCATGTAGGAGCCCCAGGCAAGCACGAGGAGAGAGCTTACCATGACCTCTCTATTGGTCTAGGGCTACCCTTACAGCCAGTCCTACCATTAGTAACTCACTCGGCAGCATGTGTGCTATGTTCAGAATCAGTTAGTAGATGACTCAGGTCTGGAGGTCTGGGAGGGCATGATTCATATTCATGTTCTTCCTGCCCATGAGGGTGTTGATTCGTCTGAAGCAATGAACAAAATAGTGACAAAAACATCTATCTACAATTCACAAACAACTGCATAAGCCGCACAGGTCAGTGAGAAAATGTTCTGTTACTAAACAGCTCCAGAACTCAGGACATACTCAGGGGATAAATAACCACACAGGGGATAATATTTGGAATAATATCTAACAAATTCTAAGCTGGATGTCAAAATACTCTTTTGTTTGGAACAATCACAGGGTCCACTTGATGCTTGCCCATGAGAGTGACCTTGCAGAGGGGAAACCTCAATGCCTGAGTGTTGCCTTTATTAGAACATGCAAAATCTCTCTGGTCTTTTAACACAGGGGAAAGTCCTCACTTTCACATTTACAACCTGGAAAAAAAGAAAAAAAAAAGAAAAAAAAAGATTATGTTAACCAACAACAACTACAGGAATATCATCTCCTTCAGTAAGGAAAGTTTCCTTTCTAAAGTAAGGAAACAAAAATCCATGCAAGTACTAGAGCTGGTTAAAAACATCTGTAAAGTGGCAGGGGAAAGAAAGGGCCCTTTTAGGTAGAACTGTCAATGTCTGGCTGCCAGAATGCTTAACGGCATTCTTCCTCTACGGGCAGGTTGACTGTCTCTTTGGTGGTGTGGGTGATTTTTTCACCCCAGAGGCCTCAAGGAAGCGTGATGCTACAGAAACTCCTAACTCTACCCAATCACTGGGGAGGTAGGCAGAGCATGAGGACCCACCCCATGGGCTGGAACAGAGGAAAAAGGTGACCAAGCTAAACATACTATGAAACACCTTGGCAGCATTTCTGGAGCTAAGTAACACCATTTTGGAGTGAGAGGATCCCTAAATGAACTATTTCCTGTGGAAAATGATACAGAAATCTGCTGTAGAACAGTGGTGATACTTTTTTTTTTTCTAATTTCCTTGGCAGTGCCCCTTCAGTATTTTCACAAGAATTTCTCTTTTATGCTTATGAACCTTCAACTCCTAGCCTGAAATCCGGCCTTTGAAAGACAGAGCAGAGAGAGACAGTTTGAGTGCCAAGGGATGTGGTCCTGAACTTCCCAAGTGCTGCAGAGGATGTTTAATCAGGTTTCCAATGTGGAGGTCTAGGCTTGGAAGTAGCAAGGCACTCAGTAGATGGAAGGTAGTCGCCTGATTCCAGCTGTAGTTCTTCCACTGGAGAACACAGGCCACCACCAAGATGACTGCAAGGACTAAGGCCACAATGCTGGGTATCCCTGCGGTTACTCCAACCACCCAGGGCTCATACTGACAAAGACAGACAGTCAGGTCAAATGCATGCAGCATGATCCTTTAACTGTGCTTAGTAGGCAAGTGAGTGGCTAACATACAACAGCAAGAAAAGCCAATGCATGGAACATAACTTTAGCCCTGAATTAAAACAGTGGCGTCCAGTCTAGCTCTACTGCACACTGGGATGGACAGAGAAGCAGAGATCTGATTTCAGAGGGAAAATATTCCAGATAATCAATGGCATCAAATAATCAAACAAAGTCTTACCCCAGAAGAACAATCTGCCTGGACAATGGCTTCCAGATATATGCCCAGAAGTCTAGAAATAAGATGGTTACAGAACATTTACAAAAAAAGCATTTCATACAAAGCAAGCAAGGGGAGAGGCTAAGTGAGCACCTGCAAGACTCCAGCAACAGCATGTGGTCAGTAACACATGGAGCATCCAGCAGTCCTGGCCTGTACTTGCCAGTCATAAGCAAGAACCCAAACTCTGGTCCTTCCAACAATGGCTCTGACTGAATGGAAGGAATAGATGTTTTTCCTCAAAAAGGGGCTTGAGGCTGAAAAAAACCCAACCATATACAAAGCATGTGCAAGAGATAAGCACAAACACAGGCCAGAGAAAGCTGGATTCAGAAGGAAAAGCAGCACAAAGGGGAGTGGGAAGCCCCAAGGAAAGCTGTACTTTTGCAACAGTCTGCTCTCCGTCCTTGCCATGATACTGGAGGCAGCTGCCTGCCCAGCCTTGCCTGGAGAATCAGTGCCTTGGCTCACAGATGCAAGACATGCAGTACAGGCCACTGGCAAACCTGGTGTACCACAACCAAAACCCTCTGGCTTTTTCTAGCTATTGTAAAATGTCACACTCAATTCCAAACAACAAGGCAGCTCCAGAAGGAGGAAGTCAATCACACAGGCAGCGATGATGGCAAATGCCTCACTTTTCATCCCTTCTTCCAGGCTGACCCACCATCTCAAGCTGACATTGCTACAGCTGAGAGCCACAGGACCCAGCGTCCCCCCCAGACAGCCATGGCAAGGGGGTTCTGGGAAGAGGCCAGAGCTTGAGGGCTGTACACAGCTCCTCAAAGGCCACAGGTCAGCCAGGTCTCCTCTGGCTCCTGCAGCTAATAGATGGTCTGTTTAACAAAGAACAACCATGACCATTACGCACATCTACATCCATCTTTCAGTAATTCAGCAGCCTGAAAAGTTGCCCTTCCCCATTCTGAGGCAGGTTGCTGCTGGACTGATCGTACACAATGCCTATAATTCAGCAGAAAAATGCAGTTGATCCCTGGCTGGGAAGATGCAAAACCAGAAATGGTCTGTGTGTCAGAAGAGGGACTACATTTCATAGTATAGCAAATAGGGAAGTAGGGTTAGAAAGCCCAGATCTTTGCATGCCCACAACTTTTTGTGGGGAGAGGAACCCCACGTCTTTTAGCAAAGAATTAGCAGTGACATGTATCTTAGTTGAGTGACAGGACATGTAAAGGACCCTCTGGTGACTGCTGCAATAGCTAATGGTCTGCTCCCTTCATCGCCTCCTCTCTCACTGGGAAAAAACAGAAATGAAATCTGAAATGACATTGACATTCCCTTTGGAGAAAGGAGCAGGAAGAAAGTTCAGCTGAATTACAGCCTTAGCAAAGTCATCTCTAGCTGGATTTTCTTATTTCTAAATAAACAGGAAAACAGGCACAAATGCAGGAATCTGGGTACTTTAAGCATCTTACCTGTCTTTAGTGCTACAATATACTGCCAGCCACATTAGGACAGTCTGTCAGAAAATCTGCATCAATGCTCACCCATAATAGAAGCAATT